CACAGTGACTTTGGAAATCATGGGCTAAGATGGCACCACAAGAGCCAAGGCCCTGAAGTCCCTCTTAGAGAAGTACTGGCCACTGATCAGATAAATCCCATTATGAACCTTACGTAAGCAAGATACAAACTTCCATTGCATTTGAACCTGTATGTTTGAGCTTTGTGACATCAGCAAGCTTTGCCCTCATACAGGTATATACAGTACAGTTGGCCCTCCACACCCGTGGGTCCTACGTCTGTGGATTCAACCAACCACAGATCAAAAATACAATATTCACAGGATGTGAAACCCGTGGATATGAAAGGCTGGCTTTTCCTATTGGCAGGTTCTGCAGAGCCAACTTCGGGACTTGGGCATCCACGGATTTTGGTATCCATAGGGGTCCTGGAACCAATCCCCCAGATACTGAGGAGTGACTATGAAATATATAGTACATATGTTTTAAAAAAGAAAACATATAGTACATATAATTAACATAGGTAACAACTAGCCTGATTTTACAGATGAGAAAACTGATGCATAGAGAAGGTGGAGAATTTGTCTGAGGTTAGTAAGTGGAGGAGTCAGGATTTGAACCCTGGGCCTGGCTCCAGAGGTTCCAGTCTTAAGTGCTCCACCTCAAGGCTGAACCAGCAGGCCAAGAATACAGAGGTGCAGGCCAGCTGCTCCAGGCAGCTCCTCCTGCCCACCTAGGCCTCCTCGGGCCTTTTGCCTGGATGCAGTGAGGGTCGCACCCTGCACCCCTGCCTCCTCGCCTTCCCAGGTGTCACCCTGAACCCTCCCCATTCTGACCCTCACCTCTTGGATGGACCCAGCCAATAGGCTTCAGGGGTTTTTCCCTCTCCCACTCCTCACACGCACTTGGCACAACCTCTGCTCTGGTGACCCCAAGTGTCTACCTTCCCTGGGTCCACCCCCAATCTGTTTTGAGAGAAAGCTGCCTCTGGGCCAGTGGGATCCACCTCCTGTCCACAGGCCCTATGTCAACCAGAGCTCTTTCAATGACAAGTGACAGAAACCCAACTGGCTTAGAGGAGGGAAATGTTTATTGGCTCATGTGACTTAAGAAGTCCAAGGTTATGGCCGGGCGCGGTGGCTCAAGCCTGTAATCCCAGCACTTTGGGAGGCCGAGACGGGCGGATCACGAGGTCAGGAGATCGAGACCATCCTGGCTAACCCCGTGAAACCCCATCTCTACTAAAAAATACAAAAAACTAGCCGGGCGAGGTGGCGGGCACCTGCAGTCCCAGCTACTCGGGAGGCTGAGGCAGGAGAATGGCGTAAACCCGGGAGGCGGAGCTTGCAGTGAGCTGAGATCTGGCCACTGCACTCCAGCCTGGGCGACAGAGCGAGACTCTGTCTCAAAAAAAAAAAAAAAAAAGAAAGAAGTCCAAGGTCCACAGGCCTCGAGCCAGCTCAGCCCCAGGTGCCCAGATGGCATCAGGAAGCTCTTGTCTCTGGACCTCTTGGCTCTGCTCTCTGTGCTGGTTTTGTTCTCAGGCAGGAGGGTTCCCTCAGGGTAATAAGTTGCTTCCAACAGCTCCTGGCAGCCCACACTCATTCCGCCAGCTCTGCTGCCCCAATGTGGTCGCTGTCATCTTGCCAGCGATCCTGTCAAAACCCTTTCCTGATGGTCCCACTTGAAGTCCCAGGGCTCAGGACCCCACCCCTGCACCAATCAGTGGTGGAGTGTGGGTGACTCTGTGATGGGCTAGCCTGGCGTGCCATTCCCACCCCTCAGCCCCAGGGAGGGCGCTCAACTGCACAAAACACAGGTCCCAGCAGAGGAGAGATGGTTCCTGAAAGGAAACCAAAAAAGGCACTGCTACCAAAGCAGGGCACCTAGAGGCAGGCAGGGCCTGCAGACGCCCGTTTCCAGCTCCCCAGGGCTGTCCCCTCTCCATGTCTCAAATCGTTGACCCTCCCATCAGCCTTGGGTGTTTTTTTTGTTTTGTTTTGTTTTGAGACGGAGTCTCAAAAATGCAAGCTCCGCCTCCCGGGTTCATGCCATTCTCCTGCCTCAGCCTCCCGAGTAGCTGGGACTACAGGTGCCCGCCACCTCGCCTGGCTAATTTTTTTTGTATTTTTTAGTAGAGACGGGGTTTCACTGTGTTAGGCAGGATGGTCTTGATCTCCTGACCTTGTGATCCGCCTGTCTCGGCCTCCCAAAGTGCTGGGATTACAGGCTTGAGCCACCGCGCCCGGCCCAGCCTTGGGTGTTTTAACCCACCTTCTCCTTCTTTGGGTCTCTCACTCAGGGAAGGAGACCCACCCCCTGCTTCACAGAGAAGTCAGACACCATCAGATAAAAACTGTGAAGACCAGCCAGGTGTGGCGGCTCACGTCTGGAAGCCCAGCACATTGGGAGGCCAAGGTGGGAGGATCACTTGAGCCCAGGAGTTCGAGTCCAGCCAGAACAACATAGTGAGACCTCATCTCTACACACACACACACACACACACACACAGCATACACACACTATACGCCTATAGTCCCAACTACTCCAGAGGACGAGGCGGGAGGATCCCTTGAGCCCAGAAGGCTGCAGTGAGCCATGATCGTGCCACTGCTCTCCAGGCCAGGCAACAAAGAGAGGCCCTGGCTCCAAAACAAAACAAAACAAAAAAGTTAAAATTAAAAAAAAAAATTGTTACCTCTGGTTGGACGCAGTGGCTCATGCCTGTAATCCCAGCGCTTTGGGAGGCCAGGTCAGGCAGATCACTTGAGGTCAGGAGTTTGAGACCAGCCTGGCCAACGTGGTGAAACCATGTCTCTACTAAAAATACAAAACTTAGCTGGGCATGGTGGCGGGCACCCGTAATCCCAGCTACTCAGGAGGCTGAGGCAGGAGAATTGCTTGAACCTGGGAGGTGGAGGTTGCAGTGAGCTGAGATCACGCCACTGCACTCTAGCCTGGGTGAAAGAGTAACTCCGTCTCAAAGAACAAACAAACAAACAAACAAAAAAAACCAGTTACCTCAATCCTCCCCGCAAAACCCACTCACTGCCCTGTCCCTTGGCAGGTTGAGGTTGGCCTGAGGTTCCCCCACCTCACCCCATCAATTCTCTCCCATCCTATCCCTGCAGATGGTCTCTAAAATTCTCGCCATCTAAAAACCACCCCTATGCATCCATATAGTGTGAAAAATTTATATATATACAATATATAATGTAAATATGTATGTAAATAAACCACTGCCCACTCCTATGCCCCTCACTCTGAGTGGTCTCTGGTTGGCATCCCTAAGTGCTGCTTCCACACGCCTCAGGGTCTCTCACCTCCAGCCCACTCACCCCCTACAACCACCACCAAGGCCCAAGCAGCACTGGTGGAGTCGCCGGGAAAGCTGAGGGTCGCCTTGCAGGCGCCACCTCCTGTCCACGGTGTCTGACACTTGACCTCTCCCTGCTTCCAGATGTACCTGTATGGGCACCACCGTGGATCCTGGGTGGCACGGGTTCTGGGCTCTCTCATCTCCGTTGGTGGTCTGCCCCGGCACCCCATGCTCAGCGAGGTCACCTGCTTTTGAGGCTCACACGTGTCTTTGTTCCCCTACATTCACACATCCACTCAGCACCTTCCCTCAGCAACCTCACAGGCACCCCCAATTCATCACAGCCACACTGTGACCTTCAGGCTGAACCTGGTCTTCCTGTGTCCCCCAGCAGGGAAGGAGCCCCTGACCACCAAAGCTGTTGCAGAAAGACACCTGGGGGTCGCCCTTAACAATCCCCTCAGCCTCCATGTGCAGTCGGCCATCTCCATGCTGAAGGCTGAGGCCAGCACAGACCCAAGTCTGCCCACCGCTCACTGTGCCCCTACCTCGTGCTGCTCCAGCTGCCATCACCTCACCCAGACTTCCGAGTCAGTTCCCTGCTGCCACCAGTGCCCACGAGAAAGCCACTGAGCTTGTTAAGAAACAGACTATATGTATACATTTTCTGACATTTTTTTTTTTTTTGAGACGGGGTCTTGCTCTGTTGCCCAGGCTGGAGTGCAGTGGTGCAATCATGGCTCACTGCTGCCTCGAACTCCTGTCCCAGCCTCCTAAGCAGCTGGGACCACAGGCATACGCCACCATTTAGACCTTTAAAACTGAATGCCTTGCGGACCCCAGGAGGCCCCACGTGGGCTACCTGCGCCTTCTCCAACCTCACTGAGTGCCTCTGCTTTACACGCAACACAGCTCCTGGGTCTGCTCCGAAAGGTTATCTGGATGAACATACTGTGTCACCGCCCTGCTCAAAAACCACCTTCAAGGCCCTTCACAATCTTGCTATGTCTGCTCCTTTCCACATGCCCTTCACTACACTGGGCACAGGACTCTACAGTTTCCAAGACCTGCTCCTGCTCCCTGTCCCACTTATCCCTTCACAGCAGCCCACAGGGGGCAGAACAGTCTCCATCAGAGAGACAAGAGGCTGCTGAGAGCAGGGCAGCAGCCCGCGAGGGGTCAGCAGCACCACGGGGCAGGTGTCCCCCACGTGCCCAGCACTTGCGAGCTCTCCCACCTCCCTTCTGTAGGCAGCCCTGGCGTGCTCAGCAGAGCCAGGGCCTCCAGCCTCCCCAGATGATCCCTCTCTCCCCTCACTGCCACCTCACCTGCCATTGACGCGGCCCCAGCTCCCAGTTTTTTTTTTGAGATGGAGTCTCACTCCGTCACCCAGGTTGGAGTGCGGTGGTGTGATCTCAGCTCACTGCAACCTCCACCTCCCAGGTTCAAGCGACTCTCCTGCCTCAGCCTCCCTAGCAGCTGGGATTACAGGGGCACACCACCACGCCCAGCTAATTTTTGTATTTTTTGTAGAGACGGGGTTTCACCATGTTGGCCAGGCTGGTCTTGAACTCTTGACCTCAGGGGATACGCCCACCTCAGCCTCCCAAAGTGTTGGCATTACAGGAGTGAGCCACCGCGCCCGGCCCCAGCTCCCAGTTTCATGTGGGGAAGGCAGGTGGGTGGATGGGATGGCAACCATGATGTCCTGCACAGAGCCTGGAACAGACACTGAGATTCCCTTTTATTATTTTTTTTAATAAATTTAAGAACAGCTCTACCTTCTCTCTTCCCCCCAGAGCAACTAAAACCAACTAAAAGGGGCTATGGCCTGGGGGGCAGAAGGCGCTAGGAGTCATAATCCTCTTCGTCCTCTTCATCAGGTGCTGAGGGGCCTGGGGGCGCTGGGGGCAAAGGCAGAGTAGAGGCGAAGGGCAGGAAGGGCGTCGGGGGGCTGCAGAGCAGAAGGCAGGGGGGAGTCAGGCCTAAGCCCCACCATGCCCTCCACGGGGGCAGCTGCCAAGCCCCTCCCTCCCCCACCTGACCCTCCCACCACCACCCTCCAGATCCATGGGGCCAAGGCCCAGGGCAGCTCACGCAGGGCAGGCCCAGGGCCCACCCACGGGCCCTGGCAGGGTGGAGCAGGATCTTTCAGGAGAACAGTCTCCTGCCTTGGAGCCCTCCTCAGTCTCCTCAGTTATTCTCCTCCCACCCCCCAAATATGCCACAATCAACAAGACCAAGGGGCCAGGGAGACCAGGAAGGGTAAACTGGCTCTTGGGAGTCTGCCAGCACCCTTCCATGCCCCTGGGCTGCTCACCTCTGAAAGTGGGCAGGGGGGTGGCTGGCCTGGGGTGGGGGTTGTGATGTCTCCTCTTCCCCATCAGTATCTGTGTCCTCAGATTCATCCTGTGAGCACCACAGAGGTCACAGTTGACAAGAAAAGACACGAGCCCATCACTGGGAGTGGCAGGGACAGCAGTAGACCCTCACAGCCCCAGTTTACAAATAAACCGGGTGCAAAGAGGTCGCAGAAAAGGATGAGCGCTGGCCTCCTGCCAGTTCAGCTTGGGGCGAGGCTGTCTGTCCCATCATCAAGGGCAGGGCGAAGAGCTGGGGCCTCACTCACCTCCTGCTCCGAGTCTGTCCCGGACAGCTTCTTGTCCTTGCTTTTCGTTCCCATTCCACCGTTCTTCCGGCCGCCGCTGCCTGGTTTCCGGCCCCTTTGGGAAGGTACAGTCCATCTGCCCGGAGGTCTCCCTACTCCTTGGCCACCCCCAAGCCCTGTGGCCTTGGCCTTCCCCACTGTATGCCAGGCTCTGGCCCCACCTGCGGGCGCCCTTGTCCCCATCCATGTGGTTGTCCTCCCCGTCCCCCTGCATGTCGGGAACAGATGCCACCAAGTCCTTCAAGAAGTCAAACTGCTGCTCCAGCTCGATGCACTGCTTCCTGGAAGAGGTGAGGAGGGGCTGGCACTCAAGACGGGCCCAGACACCCAAACCCTCAGTGGGTGGCAGCAAGGGGCTCCGGATGTCAGACTGGAGCTCGGGCTGATCTCCGCCCCCGGGCCTGCACTCCTTTACTCAAGTGGCTCCCTCTGCCTGGACGCCCAGCCCCTCCTCTGCCAGTCTGTGGCCTTGCTGGTGTCCCGGCCGCCGCCCACCTCCCTCGCCATCCAAGCTCTGCCTCCCTCAGTGTGTGAACTCCCCGCGCCAGCCCCGCCGGCCCCTCCCTGCTCCTCGCCGCTCACAGGTGGGATGTGGTCATGGTCTTGGCGTTCCGGGACTGGGTCACCTGGCAGGCCTTCTTCAACAGCGACTCTAGGAAGAGCTCAAGCGCCCGGGCTGAGGGGCGTCAAGGAGAACGCCAGGGCG